TTGCTTCTTCCTTCCCAGGAGACTTGGCCTTCTCTGGAGATACAGCTTCTTCTGCCCCTTCTGCTTCCTCCTCCTCCTCCTCCTCCTCTTCTCCCTCCTCTTCCTCCTTGCCTTCTTCCTCTTTGGCCTCTTTTTCTTCTTCTCCTTCTTCGGTCATTTCTTCGGTTACTTGGATCTCCTCCGTCTGTTCTTCTACAATCACAGTTTCCTTCTCTGACTTCTCGACCACCTTGATTTTCTCTTCACTTTTCACTTTTATGTGGGTAGCTATGGAGGGAACTTTGGGGAGGCCTTCAGAAAGGGAGAGAGGACTGGGTCCGAAGCCAATCCGACACTCTTCTCCCTCCAGGAGCTTTCTGCAGAAAGGATAAGGAAATGCATTGCTGTTAAGTCACTGCAGATTTCACCGTCAGTTTAGAGGCTCACTACCTTACCATGAAGGCCCATGGTGTCCAGTGATATGGCTATAGGTTGAGGAATTCATGTGAATGGTTGACACTTTGGGACTAGAGAACAGATAATCCCAGACTACCGAAAATCTTTACCCCAATGGAGGTGCTCCTGTTTAATGCAACTAAGGTTACAACTCATTAACCAACCGACCAATTTACCCCACCCCCACCCCCACCCACCTTGCGTGAACAATGACCCGCATGAGAGAGCTCCTACATTAACCAAACTGACTTTGTTGTTCCTCAGTTGAGATGTGCTTCGCAAGAATGCTGGCTGTCTCCCCAAGTAATTCCACCCTTATCAGTTTAGATTAAGGAGGTTTGACAATGTTCTCGTTCAAATGTCAAGGGCCTCCTGCTACCTTATTTTCTCACCATTTGGGTTTCAGGAAGAGGATGGTGGCAGCAATTTTCCTGCCGTTAGATGGGAGATCATGGTCAAGCTACTCAAACTCCTCACTGGGGAAAGGTCATACAAGCTCTCCTACCTCATAACACTTCCCCCAGAACTCCAAACTCACTGCCATTGAGTGGATTCCAACTCACTGCGACCCTGCAGGACAGAATAGAACTGCCCCAGTGGGTTTCCCACACTGTCAATCTTTACGGGCGTTGAACACCTTATCTTCTCACACAGAGCAGCTGGTGGTTTAGAACTGCTGACCTTGGGAGTTAGCAGCCCATTATGTCAGCACCTTCCCTACCTCCTAGGATTGTTTAAAAGTGGTAATGAACAAAAGAGACTTGGCAGAAAACCTTCCTGAGGCTGTGTCAGGATTTCACCCCTAGATCGGCGCTTCCCAAGTTCAGTGACCAGGGATCTCCTTATGCAGATTCTGGTTCCGATCGAATGGGTGTGAGGTGGGGCTTGAGAGTCTGCCTTTCCCAGGTGCTGCTGGTTCAGGAACCCAACTTTGAAGAGCGAGACTACAGCCAAGGGGTCAGGGGGGAAGGGTCAATGCTGAATCACTCGGGCAGGAAGCAGCTAAGCCGGGAGGGCTCATCCTCGGGCCTGGCCCCAATGGCTCTCAGTGGCAGTCCAGGGGTACCTTGGTGAGCTAAATTAGCTCAGGAAGATCCTCCCAATCACTCCTGTTATCGCCTCGGGAAACAAACGCTCAGGGAGCTGAGCGGCTCCAGAGGATGGAGTCGGAAAGGTGCCCGACTCCTCATGGATCTCCTTCCCCTCGAAACCCGGCCTCTAGCTGACAGACTCTGGGGATGGGGCAGGTGGACTTAGTCCTCTAAGGTCAATGTCAAGGTAAAAATCAGTCACTTTTGAGATTGTTGTCTCTCAAACAAGAAGCTGCGTGGGCTTGAAATCAGAGGCCTCAGCTCCTTCTAAGGGCTTGGGGAGGGGGGGGGCTGATCCCCACCACCCGGAGGCCCCGGACCCCACCGCACCTGTACGCGGCGATCTCGATGTCCAGCGCCATCTTGACATTGAGCAGGTCCTGGTACTCCCGCAGCTGCGCGGCCATCTCCCACTTGGTGTTCCTCAGCTCCGAGTCCAGCTGCTGGGCGGCTTCCTGCAGAGAGGCGACTTGAAAATCACATGCAGCCACAGCCTGGGCACAGCACGAGGGAGGTGGTGTGGGTGGGGCACAGCCAGCACAGTCTGCCCAGCCAGGGCTCGCCAGAGCCACTGTCCCTACGTCTCCCAGCTCTCAGAGCACCTGCTTCCCGGGGGAAATAACAGTCGCCCATCACGCAACTGTTGGAAGGATTCCAAGAGTGAATTCAGGTGCCATAGAAGCAGGTTCTCATTTGTGGACAAAGAAACCACTTGGGTTAAAAAAAGGACTCCTGTGAAGAGAGCGGGGTTTCAAAAAGTTCCTGGGGAAAAACTTCCATGATCTTTTCTAATTTTCTGCAAATGCTTTTGAAGGCCCTTATACAGAATCCCAACTGGGAGAAAGACCTGGGTGGACAATCAGATGCCCTGGGTGGTGGGGTGATGAATGTTGCTTGTTTTTGTTTTGTTTACCCATCTCTTACATGGTCAATAACCAAGTCAAGTTCTTGGTGATCAGGATCTCACCTTCCATTGCTCCCCACTGTTCCCCTCAATGCTCCAGAGTGCCTGCCTGTCACACGGTATTTGATGGTAGTGACTGTGACAACACACAAAAGTCTGTTATACTCCAAAGTCAACATCATTTTTTAAAAAAAGACCAGGCTTACTGGTCTGGTAGAACCCCGGAGACTGAGGCCCATAAATCCCCTTCAAACTTGGAGCTGAATCCACTCCCAGGGTCAGCTTGCAGCCAAACAGGCAGGCTTAGAAAGTGAGCAATCATACCTGCGAGGGCCGTACGTCTCAGAACCATCAACCATACGCGACCCAAAGGCAGCCACTGCCCACACACAGAGCTCAGAAGACAGGAAGGGGAGGACAGAAGGTCAGCAGGAAACCAGGAATCCAGGGTGGAAGTGGGAGGGTGCTGTTACACTGAGGATATTGTAACCAATGGTATAAAATAAAATGTGTATAAATTGGTGGGTGGAAAATGAAATTGCTTTGTATATTTTCTCCCCAACCACACACACAAAATTCTTAAACCTATTTTAAAAAGTATGTTACACACAAGAGAAAACTTCTACCCCCTCCCCACTCTATCAGGCCACTGTAACCACGAAGGTGATTTTAATTTTCTTCTTTCCCTAATGGTGCTAGAAATTTAAAAATTTTCCTGCCATGGAGTTGATGCCAACTCATAGCCACCCTATAGGACAGGGCAGAACTGCCCCTGCTGAGTCTCTTTGACTGTAGCTCTATGGAAGTAGCAAGTCTGGTGTTTCTCCCATGGAGTGACTGGTGGTCTCGAACCGCGGACCTTGCAGTTAGCAGCCCAACATGTAACCTCGAATCACTGCATCTTACTTGAAGTGGTTCTCTGTACGCGGCATGTCCTCTCGGGGACTGCCTGGCACACAGGTGCCACAGTGAAGTCTCATTGACACTGGGGGAGTTCTCATTTCATCTTCATGGTCCTACAGCAGGCAGTCTTTTCTGTATTGGTTTTTAATGCCAAGAAAGAAACTAATTCCAAGAGGCGAAGACCTTTCCTGGGGTCACACAGCGAGAAAACAACCCTGGTAAATCCGATGCCAAGGCCTATGTTCTTCACGGCCACACACCCTTGCTCAGAGAGGGCAGTGACTGACCCAGGACCACCCAGCCAGCAGAAGCAGTTTGGCCCTCTGCTCTGTCCCACGCACCTGATAGGACACAATGTCAGCCTGGTGCCGATCCTCCAGCTCAGAGCGCTGCCTCTCCAGGGAGTCCTTGGTGCCTTTGAGGGCCTCCAGCTCCGTGGTCCTGGACTGCAGCTGCCGCCGGTACTCGACGATCTCCTCCTGAGCCGAGCGCATGGCGTCTGTGTTCACCTTGGCTGCCTCTGACAGTCGGTCCAGGCGCACTGCGGGAAGATTGCGGCAAGGCGGCTCGGGATCAGACTCACCTGTATGTGGGTGCCTACCCCCAGATCCAGAAGGTGCCCTCATTGGGCTGTGTGCTTAACTCACCACACCCTCTATGACAAGCACATGATTGCCGCCCAGGGCCACCCAGCTAGTAAGTGTCAAAGGTGGATTGAAATCTAGTGTCTGTCTTACTCTAAATACAAGGGTGCTTCCTCTCCCTAACCTCAGGATGTATAAGCCTTGCTGGGCAGGGGATGCCCCGTTCTGCCTGCTCAGTGGTCCCCAGCAAGGCCTGGCAGTGTCATGGTTCCTGATCCATGGCTTGTGACCTCTGCAGATATGGGGTATCTCAAGCCATCAGGTCACCAAGTGGTCACAGCCCCTGCCCTGAAGGTTTTTGTGCAAAATCCAAGGTCACTGCAGAGTCAGGAGCTCATGCGGCCCGGCCCTCTGGCCCCATCCTACACCTGGCTACAGTCTTTAGTATAAGAGCTCCTGAGCCCATCGAGGTCAACCATCCCAACCTCCTCAGCCAGCAAGGGGCTCCTGGCCCCCAGAGGAGGGCACCACTGGACAGTAGTCAAGGGCCTGAGTCTTGGGGGGGTAAGGGGGGAGACAGCTTGGTGGCCAGGAGTCCTGTGTAAAGCGCAAATCTAGGAGGCTTCCTGCCCAGTGGAGGATTGGATGGGAGACCCGTATGCTACTGCTGTGGATGGAAAGGGAATGGGAAGCCCCAGTTTT